ACATGTGTAAACACTTCATATTATAGGAATAAGCAGACTTTCTGAAATGACTCCCAACAGCCCAGGAAATTACAGCACAAATTTATTAAGGGAGATAAAAATCAGGACATCACTGAGATTCCATCTCACCCCAGTCCAAATGGATATTTTTTCTTTACTTTTCTTTTTTTTTTTTTGGGGGGGGGTTGCGAACTCTGGGCCTAGGCACTGCCCCTCAGCTCTTCAGCTCAAGGCTAGCACTCTACCATTTGAGTCACAGCACCACTTCTGCTTATGTGGTGCGAAGGAATCGAACCCAGGGCCTCATGCATGCTAGGCACGCACTCCACTAAGCCAACTTCTCAGCCCCCAAATAGATATCTTATATTTAAAAAAGCAAATATTGACAAAGATCAGAGGGAAGTAACCTTTAAAAATTATTTGTTGGAATGTAAATTAGTGCAGACACTTTAGAAATCAGTGTGGAAGTTCAGTTAAAAAAGTAAAAACCTAGCTGGGTGCCAATGGCTCATGCTTGTAATCCTAGCTACTCAGGAGGCTGAGATCTCAGGATCACAGTTCAAAGCCAGCTGGGGCAGGAAAGTCTTATGTCCAATAAACCACTAGAAAACAGGAAGTGGCGCTGTGACTCAAGTGGTAGAGCGCTGGCCTTGAGCTGAAGAGTGTAGGGACGGCGCCCAAGCCCAGCCTTCAAGCCCCACGACCGACCAAAAAAAAAAAATTCTTGATTATTTGAGCCCTTATTAGAATTTCACTTTAGTTTGCTCATAGTGTTTTTTGTTTTGCCAGTAACTTGTGTTTGAACTCAGGGCATTATGTTCACTTGCTTGCCCAGCAGGCATTCTACCACTTGAGCCACATTTCCAGTCCAGCTTTTTGCTGCACATCCACAGTAGTCAAGTTATGGAATCAGCCTGAGGTGTCCATAACCAGCGAAATGGATAAAGGAAAATGCTGGAAACTAAATGCTACTTTAAAAGAAGGCACAAGTGTGGAGGCAAGGTATAGGAATATAAAAAGTAGAGGGTAAACTTTTCCAAAGTATACTATATGTATCTATGAAATTATCACAATGAAACTCCCTTATATTATTAATGTATGCTAGTTGAAGAATAAAATGAAGGGCAAATATGGTTGTAGATACACCATAAAGAATGCAATGGATGAAAGTAGAAATTATCTGAAATGAGCCAGATTCTGACAAATACAGCAGATTTTTTTTCTTTTCTTTTTTTTTTTTTTTTTTTGGTCGTGGGGCTTGAATTCTGGGCTTGGCCGCTGTCCCTGCACTCTTCAGCTCAAGGCAAGTGCTCCACCTCTTGAGCCACAGCGCCACTTCCGGTTTTTGAATGGTTTATTGGAGATAAGAGTCTCAGGGACTTTCCTGCCCATGCTGGTTTTGAACCACGATCCTCAGATCTCAGCCTCCTAAGTAGCTAGGATTACAGGCGTGAGGCACTAACGCCCGGCTGATTTTTTTTTTTCTTATATGTGGACTCTAGATATATTTTAAAGGACATGACTACTGAGAATGAACCAGAGAAGACTGAAAGGAGAAAAAGAGTTCACAAAAGGAGGAAAATATGAAAAATATGATCAAAGTATATTACATACATATGACACCCATTTTTAAATTTAAGGTGTATATAGCATCTGGATGAATCTTTTACCATTTTTAGCATTTTTTCTAATTAATAGATTGAATCATTGATTTCTCTTCTAACTTTGTTTTTATTATCTTTAAATATTTGTGCAAAAGGGTTTTTGTAACTCAACAGGTCAATTTATGTGAACAATATATCTTGATCTGTAGATGACATAATCTTATACCTAAAAGACTAAAGATTCCAAAGTCCTAGATCTGACATATACCTTTAGCAATGTATCAGGATACAAAAATCAATATTAAAAAACCCCTAACTTTTCTGAACATGAACAAAATGAACAAGCTGAGATAAAAATCAGGATAGCAAAATTCCATATACTACAGCTTTTTAAAAAAATACCTAGTATTAAACTGAAGAAGGAAAAATCTCTACAATGAAAACTGTAAAATCTTGAAGAAAGAAACTGAAAAGATACAAAAAGATAAAAAAAAAAGACTTCCCACACTCATAGATTGGCAGAATCAATATTGTGAATATGGATATATTACCAAAAGCAATATACAGGCTTAATGTAATTCCCATCAAAATCTCAATGGCATTTGTAAGAAACAGAAAAATCAATGCTCAAATTCATATGAAAAAAACAAAATACCATAAATAACCAAATCAATCTTAAGAGGAAAGCAAAAGCAATATTGGAGGTATCACAGCATCATACTTCAAAGTAGCCTTCGAAGCCATAGTAACAAAAGCAGCATGGTAATGGCACACAAACAGACATGAAAACCAATGAAACATAGTAGAAGACCCAGAAATAAATCCATGCAGCTACAACCATTTGATTTTTGATGGAGGAGCCCAAAACATACACTGGAGAAAAAATAGATTCTTCAACAAATGGTGATGGAAAAACTGATTATCAGCATGTAGAAGACTGAAACTGGATCCATATCTCTTTCCCTATACCAGTGTCAATGCAAAGTGAACTAAGAATCTTATTTTAAGACCTGAGAATAATTTTCATTCATTACATTTCACATAGCAAATAAAAACATTTATAACCATTCCTCTAAATTTGACCACATGTTTACTTTTCCTGAAATAGATGATAGATACATGCCATGTATTAAATTATTGAATCCAAAGGTATAGAAAAGAAAAATAAAGCATAATCACCTACTTGCCATAACAATAAAACAAAGGATCTCTGGAAAACTTCCCAAGATAACCAATTTAATTTTCCTATAAATTCTAACAATATGCTATTATCACAAGGTAGGAATATGTTTACATTTGAAGTAGACTTACTCTAAAAATGAAATATACATGTTTTATGTATATTTTATGTCATACATACATTCTTAATCCCTAGAAGTTTTTAAACGTGTGATTCTTCAGTATATTATAAATATTAAGCAACAGAAATTCTTAAAATTAAAGTGCAACTATCGAGAACTGCTCAAGACTTAACATGCAACTATTTCATTTTAATGTTTAAATTTTTAAAAGCACGAAAGTTACACACTAAGAAAAGCACAACTAAAAGCAGGGCACTGCTGTCTCATGCCTGTAAACCTAGCTACTCAGGAGGCTGAGATCTGAGAATTGTGGTTTGAAGTCATCCCAAGTAGGAAGGACTGTGAGATTCTAATCTCCAACTGACCAGCAAAATCTAGAAGTAGAGCTGTGACTAAGTGGTAGAGCACTATCTTTGAGCAAAAAAAGCTTCCCGGGCTGGCTTTGAACCGCGATCCTCAGATCTCAATCTCCTGAGTAGCTAGGATTACAGGCATGAGCCACCAGCGCCCGGCTATCTTTTTATATTCAATTCTAAAGAAATACTCAGCATAACAGTGAAGTACAAGATTTTCTATGGTAACATTTAAACTTTATAAAGATTCTAAACCCTATTAGACACTGATGCATTTCCATTTTTTTAAAAAGAATATCACTGCAAAAGATAAAAAAAACACTAGTTTTTAACTTTTATTTACTCATTTGCTGCACTTGGAACTAAAATTAGAGCCTCATGAAAGCTGGGAAAGTGCTCTATCTCTTGAGCCATTCCTCCAGCCCTTTTAGTGTGGGTTTTGTTTTAATATTTTGTTTAATAGAGTCTCCATAACTTTTCCTGAACTAGCCTCAAAGTCACTGTCTTCTTGCCTTGGCTTCTTTGGTAGATGTAATTATAAGCATGCACCACAATATTTGGCTACTTCTGAAGCCTTACCAAATATAATTGAAAACCGGATACTTATGTTTTTAATGTTAATTTGATATGCTTTGATTTTCCCACCATAACAAACCATGAAATGCTGATGCTTTGGGAAAATGTTAAAATAAAAACAAAGAAAATTACTCATTAATTTATGAAAATTACTGCTGAAAACATTTGAAGAATAAAGTGCAGACTCAAAAAATAGCAAATCAAATTAGATTTCCAACTGTTCACCAACAGAAATTTATAGATGTAAAAGCTAAAATACAAGACTTGATCAGATCCTTTCTAAAACCTCATGTGCCAAATTACTGTTTGGCTCAATTTTTAAATGTAAGCAATCTCACTGTATATGTCATTTGAATAAAATAATTGGATCTTAAAACAACTAATTAATTTGAGGGTAACAGTACAGCAAGAAAACTGAAGGCAAAAAAGTACAAATATTAAGTCAGAGCTAGTATAGCAAACATACTGGCATAATCACACAAAATTAAAGTAGAAATTGTGAACAGAATTCATTTGGTAACTAATGTTTTTGCTAGTTCCCAAAATATTTCTACCTAATAGAAGACTGTTACAGTTCTTGATTATACTATGTAGACTAAAACTCAAACCAAAATATTTTGTCTAAGCACACTTACTTGGCAAGTTTATATGTGTATATAGTATTATATATATACAGTTATAGTTATATAATCATATATATGACAGTAGAAAATGAATCCAAGATTCAGTTTAGAAAGCAATATTAGAGGATATGCAGTTACAATCTATGTCCTACATAACCTTTTGAATGTATAACCTTTAAGTTGCTGAAGGTTGGCTCAGAATTTGGCTCAGTTTGATGGAAACATCTGTTCCCCTTGCAGGTATACTGTAAGGACTTTTTTCTCAGTTGGATTCAGAACACAGCAAGTGAGCCCTTATCTGTCCAATCATATAGACCCCCAACACTTGTAAATCAAGTTCTGGGAGGACAACAGCAGGTCCACACTCCGTCACCCTTTCCCAGCCAGCTAGGCCAAATTACTGCTGTGAGAACTGCTCTTATCATGTCATCAAATCAAAACATGTTGAGATGAGGGACTATAAGAAGCATCTGCAGAATTCCCAAAATGTAGTGACTTTGGAACATTGACAGATGCATCTGTCATTTTATACCTTCAACTAACCTGATGTCCACTGGCCCGACACAGTAAAACTGTCCAAGATCGATTCCAATTCTTTCACATTATTTTCACATGTCTCTACTAGGAAGGCTTGGTGCTTCTTAGCCTTTTAATTAAGAAAAATCACATATAGTAAGATCACATACTGAAAGTGCCATATCTCAGTGTGAACATATATAATACAAATAAGTATCAGTAAGATATTACTCCATTCAAATCTAATAAAATTTTGTCTTAATCATACCTTATTTGGCTTAATGTACAACTGATAAGTTTCATTAATAATTTACTAAGAATTTAGCACTTCGCATTATTCTATACACAGCAAATCTTATCTTCACAGTAAGAAATTTTACAGATAAAAAATTGGACAGATGAATTAAAGGAATACTTAAAAAATTCATGCTTACACCCATATGGCAAATTGCCAGATGGTAGCTGAAAATGAATGCAGTTAGGACCAATTAGAAGCTACTTCACAAGTCAAGTCATGATAGTTTGGTCTATGATACTTAGAGTAATGGGAATCGTAGGTGTGCTGGGAAGATACTTAGAAAAGATAATGGCCAGCCCTTAGTGACACTTCATTTAGACTATATTAATTGGATTCCAGTGGATTGGATAATGATAGCTCAAGTGCTGAGATAAAAGAAGAGAAAAGGCCAGGCGCCCCCGGTGGCTCCCACCTGTAACCTAGCTACTCAGGAGGATGAGATCTGAGGATCAAGATTCAAAGCCAGCCTAGGGAAAGTCCATGAGACTCTTATCTCCAATTAACCACCAGAAAATGGAAGTGGCGCTGTGGCTCAAGTGGTAGAGCACTTACCTTGAGCTGAGGAGTGCACAGACAGCACTCAAGCTCAGAGTTCAAGCCCCATGATGGAGAGAGAGAGAGAGAGAGAGAGAGAGACATCAAGATTAATCCAGGGTTTACAAATTAAAAGGACTAGATGGATGTCAGCAGTTGAAAAAAAATAAGAGATACAGAAAAGGGGAGAGATACAGAAAAGGTCTTAGGTGGTATGTTTGCTTATTTTCATAAGCAAGGGATTTGAATCATGAATTCTGTTTTGGTCAGATACATAAGACACTTGTAGCTCCAGTACAATTCCTATAAATATCAGGTCTTAAATGAGTGAACAAAGAACAAAGTAGAAAAATAGTAAAAGTAGCTAAACATACCAATGCAAAGCCCAGAGGGAGGCCTGATATAAATTTGGGAATCATCTACAAATATTGTCTGAAACTTGCCTTTAGAGTATTTGAAGGAAAGTAAAAGAATCTAGTACAAATTCTGAAGAATTCCAGCATTTCATAGCAAACTATGAAGATCAAAAGAGGAAAAGGAAAACAGAAAGGTATGATGTCATTTCAAGGAAAGAGTTGTCAGCTATGTCCAATGCCCCAGAAAGGTCAGGCAAAATGATGTTTACTGGGCATGAAGTCATTAGTAACTCTGATAAAATTTCACAGTAATACAGTCAACGAAGAATGGAATAAGTAGGAAGAAAGGGTAAGACTCTTTTTTATAATATGTTAACCTTTAGGTAGGTGTACAAAAGAGTTTCAAATGAACATGTCTCATTTTTTTTTCTAACCAAGTGAAAGTTGAGTAAGTGGAAATAAAACTTCAGACACCCTTTTTTTGGTAAATGAAAACAAAGAAGAGTTTTGTTGTTTTAATGAGAAAAACATATACTTGTTTAAAAACTAACTAGGCTGGGTGCCTGTGGCTCACACCTGTAATCCTAGCTACTCAGGAGGCTGAGATCTGAGGATTGAGATTCAAATCCAGCCCAGACAGGAAAGTCTGTGGGACTCTTTTTTCCAATTAGCCACCAGAAAATGGAAGTGGTGCTGTGGCTCAAGTGGTAGAGCACTCACCTTGAGCTAAAGAGCTCAAGGTCAGCACCCAAGCCCAGAGTTCAATCCCCATGACCAACAAAAATAAAATGTAAAAATAAAGAAATAAATAATATGAAAATGCTTATTACACAGACGTACTCATGAAATAATGTTTATAAGTAGAGAAGGAATGGAAGAATAGATATTGCAGAACAAAATTACATTATAAAGTACAGCAGTCTTGCCAGGCATTGGTGGCTCAGAAGGCTAGGATCTGAGGATCTCCTGGACAGGGAAGTCCATGAGATTCCTATCTCCAATTAATCATAGAAAAAAAACAGAAGTGGTGCTATGGCTCAAAGTGGTAGAGCATTAGCCTTGAGCAAAAGGAGTCCAGGGACAATGTCCAGGTCCACAATTCAAGCCCTAGGACTGGCAAAAAAAAAAAAAAAATACAGTAATCCCCATATATACTTGAAATGTTCCCAAGACACTCCCCAAATGGAGATTTAAAAGCATAGATAGTACTGAACCCAATTATACACACACACACACACACACACACACACACACAGTATGTGTGTAAAACACACATATCCTTTGAATAAAGTCTGACACATAAGACAGCAAAAGACTAACAACAAAAACATAAATAAAACAACTATAACAATATTCTGTAAATATATATACGTACAATGGGACATGATAAATTATATAGATCTCTAGATATCCACACACTGAAGCCAAAGAAGGATATGCATAGGAGCAGATCACAAAGGCTCAATAGCTATGTGTGATCATATAAAATAACATTTTATGAAATGAACTCCAAGAAAAGTAAATGAGATATTTTTTAGCTGCTGTTGTTGCTGTTTTTCTTTTCCTTTATCTTGTTTGTTAGTTTGCTTGTATTTGGGAGGGTAGGGGAGCCACAGAAAAGGTAGAACAAAGGGTAAATAAATACAACAGTGGTACTCCTAGGCATTACATGGAAAATGAACTATGTACACCTTGTGGGTAGGGATGGGAAAGAAAATTGGGTGAGAGTAGAAGGGGAGACATGATTCAAAAACAGTTGTACTCATCATTACCTGACTCATGTAACTGTAACCCCTCTGTTTATCAGCTCTACCATAACAATAAAATATTTTTTAAATTCTATAACAAAAATTATGTCAGGGGCTGGGAAGGTGGCTCAGTGGTAGAGTGCTTGCCTTGCATGCATGAGGCCCTGGGTTCGATTCCTCAGCACCACATAAGCA